AGTTGTTCTTCAGTTGAGATATACTCAATTTTGATATCTTTCTTTTCCACATGTTCTCTGATGAAGTGATGCTTGACATCAATGTGCTTAGTGCGAGAATGATGCACTGGGTTTTGAGAGATGGCTATGGCACTTTGATTGTCACAAAAGATTGTCACTTCCTTTGTTTTGACTCCATAGTCCAGTAGTTGTTGCTTTAACCACAAAACATGAGCACAACAACTACCAGCTGCAATGTACTCTGCTTCTGCTGTAGATGTGGAAATGGAGTTTTGTTTCTTACTGAACCAAGAAACAAGATTTTCACCAATGAATTGACAAGTACCAGATGTACTTTTCCGGTCAACTTTGCATCCGGCAAAGTCAGAATCTGAGTATCCCACTAACTCAAATGAATTGCTCTTACCATACCACAAACCCATGTTCTGAGTTCCTTTGAGGTATCTGAGAATCCTTTCAGCTGCTATCAGATGGCTTTCCTTTGGCTTTGACTGGAATCTGGCACAAACACCTACTGCATATTAGATATCCGGACGGCTTGCAGTAAGGTAAAGTAGAGATCCGACAATCCCTCTGTAGAGAGTTTGATCTACATCCTTTCCATCTGCATCCATATCAAGCTTGGTGGAAGTGCTCATGGGGACAGAAACGGATGACTTCTGATCAACTTTGAACTTCTTGATAAGATCCCTTGTATATTTAGCTTGATTGATGAGAGTGCCTTCACTTCTCTGTTTGATTTGAAGGCCAAGGTAGTAGTTGAGTTCCCCCATCATGCTCATTTCAAATTTTCCTTGCATGAGGGTTGAAAACTTGGTGCATAGATCTTTCTTCGTTGAGCCAAATATGATATCGTCCACATAGATCTGAACTAATAGGAAATCTTCTCCATCTTGTAGCTTGAATAATGTCTTGTCAATTACTCCTTTGGTAAATTCATTGTCTATAAGAAATTGAGACAATGTATCATTCCAAGCTCTTGGTGCTTGTTTGAGTCCATATAGCGCCTTCTTGAGTCTATACACCTGATCTCCCTTAGTGTGTAACTCAAATCCTGGAGGTTGTTCTACATACACTTCTTCCTCTAGGTTTCCTTTGAGAAATGCGCTTTTGACATCCATTTGATAGACTTTGAAGTCCTTGTGAGTAGCAAAGGCTAGAAACAGCCTTATAGCTTCAAGTCTAGCAACTGGAGCGAAGGTTTCATGAAAATCTATACCTTCTTCTTGACAATATCCTTTTGCAACTAACCGGGCTTTGTTTCTGACAACAACGTCGTTTTCATCCATCTTGTTCCGGAAGACCCACTTTGTCCCAATGACATGTTGATGAGTAGGTCTGGGAACAAGTTTCCAGACATCATTTCTTGAAAACTGGTTGAGTTCTTCTTGCATTGCAATGATCCAATCAGAATCAGCTAGAGCTTCTTCAATATTCTTTGGTTCCACTTGTGAGATGAAACAAGCAAGCATAGCTTCTAGATTCTGTTGGGCACTTCTTGTGCGAACACCAGATTGAATATCTCCAATGATCTGTTGAGAAGGATGATCCCTTAACCAACCAAGATTGTGTTGATTGGGATTGACTGGTTGATCTAGTTCAGCTTCTGGTTGAAGAACAGAAGTTGTTGGTGTTTCCGGATGGATTGGCACTGAGTTGCCATTTCCGGAATTGTTGCCGTTTGAGATATCCGGAATATTGGAAGGCTGGCCAAAATTTCCGGAGGGCTCAGCACCGTCTGAATCCGGATTTCTCTGTGAAATCTTCAGAGGCAGACTTCTGAATGGAATGAATTCCGTGGGCTTCATTCTATCTTCTTTATTGACTTCTTCATCCTTGTCTGATAGATCCAGAACCTCATGATCATGCTTTGATGGTTTGTCAACCACATGTTTTTCATCAAAAATGACATGTATTGACTCTTCAGTGATCATGGTTCTTTTGTTGAAGACTCTGAACGCCTTGCTTACCATGGAATATCCAAGGAAGATGGCTTCATCTGATTTTTCATCAAAAGTGTTCAGATGATTCTTCCCGTTGTTTAACACAAAGCACTTGCTCCCAAAAATATGGAAATATGATATATTAGGCTTTCTCCCGTTCCACAGTTCATAGGGAGTTTTGTTGTGCCTTTTATAAATCATACTCCTATTTTGAGTGTAGCAGGCTGTGTTAACTGCTTCAGCCCAGAACCTCTTTGGTAAAGAAGCTTCTTCTAGCATGGTTCTCACCGCTTCCTTCAGGGTTCTGTTCCTTCTTTCAGCTACACCATTTTGTTGAGGTGTCCTTGCTGCGGATGTCTGGTGAAGAATTCTGTTTTCTTCACAGTAGTGAATGATGATTTCATTTAGGAATTCTGTGCCTTTGTTAGATCTGATCTTCTGAATGGTCTGACTTGCTTGGTTTTGAATCAGCTTCATGCAGTTGGTGAGTTTCCCTTGAGTCTCCTTCTTGCTGTTGAGGTAGATTGTCCACGTGTATCTTGAGTAATCATCAACTATCACCAGGACATATTTCTTTCCACTTAGACTTATTGGTGTAACAGGGCTAAATAAGTCCATGTGAATAAGACTTAATATCCTTGAAGTTGAGGGTGCCGATTTTGCCTTGAAGGTGGACTTGACTTGCTTTCCTTTTGGCAAGCATCACAAATACTTTCCTTTCTGAATGCAGCTTTGGGAAGACCTTCTACTAACTCTTCTTTGGACAGCTTGTTGAGGGTTTTGAAGTTGAGATGACTCAACCTCTTATGCCAAAGCCATAGAAGGTTAGTGTCACCTTTGCTGATTAGACATGCTTCCTTGACATCGCTCCATATCACTTCATAGATGTTTCTGATTCTTTTCCCAGTGAGAATGACTTCATTTGTGGAGATGTTCTTGAGAGATGCCATGTCCTTGCAAAATTCCAAGGAGTAACCTTTATCACAAAACTGACTTATGCTAAGAAGGTTATAATTGAGTCCTTCAACATAAGATACAGCTTGAATGGTTAGCCCCTTGTACACCAGATTTCCTAGCCCTTTAGTAAGGCCGAAATCATTGCTTCCTCCAAAAGTAACTCTTGGACCATCATAGGGAATTAGATTGCTCAAAAGGCTCGCATCACCCGTCATGTGTCTTGAACAGCCACTGTCTAAGTACCAGACACCTGGGTACTTAGCGGCTTCCTGTATTAGGAGGAGGAAGATTTTGGTACCCAATTAAGTTTGGGTTCGGAGTAGTTAATGGTGTGTGTCCCTTCATCAAGTTTGACGTTGCAGGGAATTTTCCTTGCAGCTCTAAACTTGTTGGGATTGTAATCATAGTTATAGGCATAAAACTTCCTACGTGCAGGAGGTGTTATTTCCTGTTTCCTCCTAGCAAACCTAAGTTGATAAGACTCATAGTTTTGTCTAGGTTGTGCATAGTGTGTCCTGTGTCGGTTATAAGCATACTTAGGTGGCACAAATAGCTTCTGGGGTGGACGGTCCTATATCTTGGCATAGTTCTCCACTCAGAATTTCTTGGAAAACTCCTGTCTACCCCATAATGAGTATAGCCTCGTGTATAATGGGGGTTAGAAGGTTTTCTTCTGAAATTATTTCCTTTTTGAGGTCTGTCCAGCTTGCTATAGTTCTTAGGAGGGACTACCTTTGTGGGAACTTTTGTTGGTTTCTCCTTTTCCTTCCCTTTCTGCTTATTAGGTTTGGCAGTAGGTTTAGGAGGGATGAAAGTTGTCTTCCTTTTCCTTTTGGAACTAGAGGAGTCAAACCCAAGTCCTTTGCGACCCTTATGTTTGGTCGTTTCAAGAAGCTTATCCACTGCCTCTTTTGACTTAAGAGTCCCTAGTTCTTTGTTAAGGGATTTCACCTTTTCAGAGAGAGATTCATTTTCAGTCTTGAGTTGAGTGATCTCATTCAGTTGACGTTTCCGACTTTCAGTTAACTTGAGATTCTCTTCACTTAATAGTTTGTTCTCTTCTGTTAAGGATGTGTGTTTGAGATTTATTTCCTCAAAGTCTTTCATCATCTTTTTGAACTGGTCAAAAAGATTTTCAGAAGTTGGTGTGCTATAAGAAGATGAGCAGGAGGTTTGTGAGGTTACCTCTTGATCAGCATCATCTTTGGCCATTAGGCAGAGAGTGTCATCTTCTGACATAGCCCACCTATCCTCATGGTTGGACTTCTCAACCCTGCGCTCCATGCAGACGAGGGCTTCTTCATCCGAGCTTGAGCTGGATGACTCGTCACTTTCAGCAGCAACCATTTCTTTCTTTTTCTTCTCGATCCTTTCTCTTTCTCCGTACTTCTCCACTTTTGGGTACGGGCATGCTGACTTCCAGTGGCCAGGCTTCCTGCAGTTATAACATAAATAAGATTCAGGAGGGGAGTCACTTACCTGTGGCTTTCCCTTGGATGGCCTTCTGATTGAATAAGCCTTCTTGAAGAACTTCTTGAACTTCCGGAATTGTTTGACCATCATGGCAAATTCCTCTTCGTAGTTCTCCATTTTTGAGCTTGACGGTTGGCTGGAGGAAGGTGTGTCACAGTTTCTTGTGCATGTCCCTTCACTTGATGGAATTCTTGAAGCTGTCATCAATGTCGTGGGGAAGGGAGTGACTTGTTCTTCCTTTTTCTTTTTCAGCTCGTGCTCATAGGTTCTGAGTTCATCAAGGAGACCTTGAACAGTGTAGTTTTCCAGGTTTCTTCCTTCTTCCATGGCTGTGGCTTTGGTGTACCACTCAGTTGGGAGTGATCTCAGCAACCTTACATTCTTTTCTTTGGGAGAGAGAACGCGGTTAAGTGAGGCAAGATCATTCAAGATTTTGTGGAACCTTTCATCCAACATATCAAATGATTCTCCTGGAAGCATTTTGAAGCCTTTGAACTTCTCAAGTAGGACTTCTATCTTTTGCTTTCTCAAGTCCTCTGATCCCTCACATAGCTTCCCAAGACCTTGCCATATCTCCATGGCAGTCTTGAGATGCTTGATTTTGGAGAAGGTGATGGGATCAAGTGTCTTGAAGATGGCTACTTTGGCGACGTTGTCCAGATTGTGCTTTTTACAATCTCTATCATCCCATTTTTCCTTGGGCTTTGGAATGTACTGGATTACATCAGGAGTTGCTGGATTCCTCTCAGGATTCTCCATTTGGATTTTCAAGGGTCCATCCTCAAGCACCATCCACATGCAGTCATGTAGAGCGTAGAGATGTGCTTCCATCATGATCTTCCAATCATCATAACCTAAGAGAGAAAACTTGGGCAAACCGTGATCCATATTGTTCACCATTATGATCGCTTTTCATTAATCTAAACGTAGATAGTGAGAAGTTCGCTCTGATACCAATTGGTGGTCCCAAAGTGGTGAAATACAAAGTCTAGAGGGGGGGTGAATAGACTTTGTTACAGATTTAAAATCTTTTTCGTTTCTTTTGAAAACGTGAAAATGAGTATTAATCTAGAGTCCTTGTGAACTTTAGATTGTGTGCGGAATTTGGTGGGTACAATGAGCAGTAATCAATATGGATGGGTTAGTTTTCACAATTAATATAATCGCAAGTAAGAATAAAGATAAAGGAGAGAGACACGCAAACTTTAACGAGGTTCGAAGGTGGGGTAATCCTTCTACGTCCTCAAAATCCACTATGTAGTTAGTTGTTGAATAATGAACCAACAATTACACTTGTGTGAATTTCTGCACGGTATATCTTCACAAAACTAATGTTGCTACTGCACTCGTGCTGGCTTTGTTGTTCCTTCGAAGGTCAAGCTTCTTCAACAACTGCAAGGTCCGAACAATAGGACTTGCAAGATCAACTTGTAAGAGAGTTGACCTACCCCTTTTTAATCAATAAGTTTGATCAAAAGTAATATCCTTCAACGTGGTGTGATGCTTGAAGCAAGGAAACCTTCAAGTGTTTACACTATAGCTCTTTGGAAGGGGGAGAAGTTTGCTTCTGGATAAGGAGTTTAGAAATCTCTCTTTATCAAGCTTTTTGGGCTAACTGTGATTGAGATGCTATCCGTTGCATTTGCTGGCTTCAATTTTGAATGAAGATTGTGATTTGAAGATTCCTCATTGGAATGGGTGTTTGGACATACCCAATTGTTAAAGGAGAGATTCCTTTTTCCATAGAGTCCGTCTTCTAGCTGCTGTTCAAGTATTCTGGACTGTAGAACTTTACTCTGTTTGTCTTCTAGTGCTTGTTTAGGAATTCTGGACAGGTTCTTCAATTCTTAGAGGTTCAGACTTTGTCTTCGAGTCATTTGTTCTTGAATCAGCATAGTTATCTTCAATCTAGCCGTTGAAAATCAAGAGATTGATTTTTCCTTACCAACGGGTAGAATTTCTTCATTCAAGACTTAGATAATTTTCTAAGTCTTTTCTCACTTGTCCGCTTTTTGAGAATTTTGGTCTCCTTGAGGTATCCGGTTCTTAGCTGACAAATCCGGAGGAGTCATTCTCAGACTTTCGGGTGAGAAAGAGATTCGCGCTAGTCTTCCGATTTGGGTGACTTAGCCTTCAGCGGGTTGTAGCGAGACATCCGGTTCTTATGTAGTCTTCCGGAACAGAGGATTTTCATCTGCTTGAGAAATCCTTACTTGTCTCTAGCATTTCCGATCAAGATATCCAATTTCCATATCACTGAATTTGATTAAGTCTTGAGGCATCAAAACGCTTAAAGAAATATCACAACCTTATTGGAAAACTCAAGAACTTGGTTTTAACAATATTTCTAAAAGGAAAAATTACATTGAATATTGGGGGAGACCTAAACTCCCTATTACATTCTAAATACATCATCATCAAAATCTATGATATTTTTCCCAACAGAAGGTCACGCTTCTTCAACAACTGCAAGGTCCGAACAATAGGACTTGCAAGACCAACTTGTAAGAAAGTTGACCTACCCCTTTTTAATCAATAAGTTTGATCAAAAGTTGTATCCTTCAACGTGGTGGGTTACTTGAGGCAAGGAAACCTTCAAGTATTTACACTATAGCTCTTTGGAAGGAGGAGAAGTTTGCTTCTGGATAAGGAGTTTAGAAATCTCTCTTTATCAAGCTTTTTGGGCTAAATGAGGTAGCCTCTTTGTGGTTGTTCTTCTTATCGTTGATGAGTTGTTCTCTTCTTCCCCAGTCTTCCAAGCTATTTTATAGCTGGATTGGATAATCAATCCGTTGAGTCAAAATAGACTATCCGTTGCATTTGTTGGCTTCAATTTTGAATGAAGATTGTGATTTGAAGATTCCTCATTGGAATGGGTGTTTGGACATACCCAATTGTAAAAGGAGGGATTTCTTTTTCCACATAATCCGTCTTCTAGCTGTTGTTCAAGAATTTTGGACTGTAGCACTTTACTCTGTTTGTCTTCTAGTGCTTGTTTAGGAATTCTGGACAGGCTCTTCAATTTTTAGAGGTCAAGACTTTGTCTTCGAGTCATTTGTTCTTGAATCAGCATAGTTATCTTCAGTCTAGCCATTGAAAATCAAGAGATTGATTTTTCCTTACCAACGGGTAGAATTTCTTCATTCAAGACTTAGATAATTTTCTAAGTCTTTTTCTCACTTGTCCGCTTTTTGAGAATTCCGGTCTTCGTTGAGGCATACGGTTCTTAGCTGACAAATCCGGAAGAGTCATACTCAGTCTTCCAGGTGAGAAAGAAATCCGCGCTAGTCTTCCGACTTAGCCTTCAGCGGGTTGTAGCGAGACATCCGGTTCTCATGTAGTCTTCCGGATAAGAGGATTTTCGTCTGCTTTGAGAAATCCTTACTTGTCTCTGACATTTCCGATCAAGATATCCAATTTCCGAATTACTGAATTTGATTAAGTCTTCAGGCATCAAACCGCTTAAAGAAATATCACAACTTTATTGGAAATCTCAAGAACTTGGTTTTAACAATATTTCTAAAACGAAAAATTACATTGAATATCTGTGGAGACCTAAAGTCCCTATTACATTCTAAATACATCATCATCAAAATCTATAATATTTTTCCCAACAGCAGTTTCATCCTCGTCTTGGTCAGTTGACTCATCGCCGGAGTCGCCACCCCAAGAGATGTATGCTCTTTGCTTTTTGAAGTGGCGAGTGTTCCTTCCGTTTCTCGGGCATTTGTTCTTGATGTGCCCGGCTTCACAACATCCATAGCACATAGGGTCATCCTCAACCTTTTCTTTCTTTCTTAGAAGTTTGCAAAACTTCTTCATGACAAGCTTGACTTCATCATCATCACTTGAGTCATTCATTGTCGGTTCTTTGGAGGCTTTTAATGCTTGCCTTTTCTCTGGTCATTCAAAGACGGGTTAAGTATAGTAGATTCATACGTTTTTAAGTTACCTCTTAAACCGTCGATGGTGACATTTGATGTGCCGATTGACTCATAGATGGCATCGGCCTTAGATCGCCATTCGGATGTCAAGCTCCGTAGGATCTTTCGCACAAGATCCCTGTCGGTGTAGGTCTTCTTCAATGCATGAAGGTCGTTGACTATCTTGGAAAATCGGTCGAACAAGTCGTCAATCTTCTCGTGCTCCTTCATCTTGAACATCTCATATTCTTGGGTGAGGAAGTCAATCTTGGCTTCACGTACTTGGTCCGTTCCTTCGTACGTCACCTCAAGTTTACCCCACATCTCCTTGGCGGTTGAGCAGCAGGAGATCTTGCGGTAGTCATCAGGATTTACGGCACAATAAAGCATGTTTATTGCCTTTGCGTAATTCTCGACCTTTTTGATGTCCTCGGCATCAAACTCGTCTTCGGTCTTGGGGATCAACTTGTCTCCGACTTTCTTCATCGGCACCTCTTCCTCGTTTTTGATAACCAACCATAATTGGAAGTTCGTGGAACGAATATAGATTCTCATTCGTTCTTTCCAATATGTATAATTGGTTGAATCAAAAAGAGCTGGCCGTGTAGTTGATTGACCTTCTCCAATCCCTGCATAAAGATTTCTAGAAGAAGAACCCATGATCGCTTTACTCTCAAACGGTTAAGTTTGGACGCGAGTTAGGCTCCGATACCAATTGTTAGAATAAGTGACCAACGCTAGAGGGGGGGTGAATAGCGTTTGATCGTAGAAATCGCAGGAATAAAAAATTAAGAACGTGAAAGATAAAGAGCGTAGAACGCGTAAAGGGAGCACACCAAGATTTACCCTGGTTCACCACAACTTGTGGCTAATCCAGCCTCCCGAGAGACTCTCTCGAGCTACACTACTTCCGTTAAGCTTACGGGTGCTTAACAAACCGTTACAACCTGAGAACTCGAGTCCCACGAGCCTCAACAACACTTGCTCGGAGATAGCGCACTCCAAGACTTCAACCCGAAGGAAAATACCTTTCCTTCATACAACCAAGGGAAACAAGCTTCCCTTAACGTGTATACAACACTAAGACACTGAAGAACAAGGCTCTCTTTTAGAGTAGATGTTGAGTAAACTATATACGCTCAAGAACAACTCAAACTTCACAAATTGGCTCTAGAAAGCTATGAAAAATGATGTTGTTTGAATGAAATGATAATATGAATATTGTGAAGTGAAGCCAACGATCCTTCATTTTTGAAGCCAACGGTCACCTACCCATCGATGGGTACATGCTTCCCATCGCTGGGTGGGAGGTTGACTTCCAAACATTGAAAGAATCAACCTTAAATGACTTACAACGGTCATGCCTTCCCATCGATGGTTAAGCCTTCCCATCGCTGGGTTCCCATCGATGGGTAAAGCTTCCATCGCTGGGTAAGGGCATTCTGCCTTATGATAATGTTGGACCAAGGTTTTAACAGCGATGGGTAGAACCTCCCATCGCTGTTTGGCATGGTTCTGGAAGTTGGTTTGGCTAAGGGGCCGCTTTCCCATCAATGGGATGTTCTTCCCATCGCTGGGTGGGTGGTTAGCCAAAAACCTATGGTTTTTGCCTTAACCACGACTTAGCCAACCGATGCAAAAACCAACCAAAAAATCCAAAGTTCTCCAAAATAAAAACCAAGTGTTTAAAACACTTATTTGATGTATTTGGCTAAGAAATCAAGTGATACACTTTAAAAACCACGTCATTTGAGTAAAAACCACGGTTAGCCAAGTTTATGCCGTTTTGCGTGGTTTTTGCCAAACGACCAAAAACGAAAGGTGGTTTTCAAAGTGTTTTTGTTGGAGAACTGTTTAAACATGCCAAGAAGTAAAAACCAGTCATAGAAAGTTGAAAATCACTTGGTTGGTTCAGACCCCAAAAACCAACGCAGATAACCGAAAGCCGAACGCCGGTTTCTGAAAGCCGAACGCCGGATGGCTTGGTGTTTGGTTTGGGCGATCACCAAGTGTTTTTGTTGACTTAAACATGTCTGAAAAACATTTTTATGATGTAAGAAATTCAATGAATAGATTTTAGCCTAAAGAGCCAAGGTGTAAAGACTAGGTCGGTCTTGATCACAAATGAGACCGACTCAACGACACTAAGACTACGGTCTTCGTTCTTGGTCTTCGTATAGCTCTTGTTCTTATCTTCGTTCTTCGCCTTGTATATTCAATGTCTTATCTTGATCACGGCGGTTTGGCATTATCAAAACCTGTTACAAAAACGAACACGGCTTTAGTACGAAAACGTGACAAGCCCGTGTTTCAACACTTATAACTTGCTCGAGAAGTTCCAAGAATTTTTGAAGGAAATACTTGGGTCCCGAGATTGTAAAAGAAAGGGGGAACCCATTCCAACATGCTTTGGTTGTGGAGAACTTGGTCACATAAAGCCATATTGCCCAAACCGCAAGGAAAAGAAGAAGGACGAGCATACATGGCATGGGATTAGGAAAGTTCCGGTGACGAAACCGCCACCTTATGTCTTATGGCTCATGAACGAAATGGAGAGGTAAGTACTTCTAACTCTTTCTCGTTTGAAGAATTACAAGAAGCCTTTCAAGAATTATTTGGTGAATTGAAGAAAACTTCAAAAATTGCCAAAGAGGCTAAGGCAAAAATTCATGCTTTGGAAGAGGAAAATAAATTTTTGGAAAATGATAATTTTGACCTCAAAAATAAAATTAAGGCAATGAATATAGATTATTTCTTTGACCAAAGTTCTACTTGTTCCTCTTGTGAGTCTTTAAAAGTAGAGAATGTAGAACTTAAAAGCAGCATTGAAAAAATTAAGGTAGAAGAGCCTAAGAAACTTTTTCAAGAAGTTAAGAATGATAAAGCACCTAGAAGAACGAATAATCCTAAGTATAACAAAATTAATTCTAGAAAGAATAAAAGTAACAAGGTGAGACAACCTCGAATTGACTCTAGGATTTTTACAAATAGTAGAAATATTTTGAGACAACCTAGAAATGAGTCTAGGAATTTAGTTAATATTTCTAGGAATAATGATTTTAGATCACGTAGAAAGTTTTTGGCTCAACCTAGGCATATGCATAATCCAAACGTAGTATGCCATTATTGTTCTAAGAAAGGACACATAGCTCCCGTTTGTTTTGCTAAACATAGGGACACATATTGGGTACCTCAATGGTATTACTAGATACACAAAAGGGTGTGCTTGAAGACTACAAACCTGTAGTGGATGCTCCAAGCACGGAACCCAATGAACCGCATCAATAGGGGAAGCTCGTTTTACGATATTGTTGACAATTGATGCTCCAGGACATTTTCAAACATCGATGTTCAGTATCAAACATCAATGTTCAAAGAGTTCTTTTTTTTAAATTTTTTGAAGTGCTTTTTGCTAATGTCAAAAGGGGGAAGGTATAAAGGTTATGCATAGATTGAGGGGGAACTTTTTCTAAGGCACAATTTTTTGTAAAATATAAAAATATTAAATCTTGTTCAAAACATAAACCTTGTTGCATTTGTTAAGGGGAAACATCTCTCAAAAGTCTCAATATTTTCAAAGTCTCAAAACAATCCTCCTATGCATAACCCCGTCTTGTTTGCCATTATCAAAAAGGGGGAAATTGTTGAAACACGGGTTTATCGCTTTTTCGTACTAAAGTCGTGTTCGTTTTTATGACAGGTTTTGATAATGTCAAACCGCCGTGAACGAGACAAGTTGTTGAATATACAAGGCGAGAAATAAATATAAGAAGAAAACAAGAGAACAAGAGCCAAAAGAGACCAAGAACGAAGACCGTAGTATTTAGCGTCGTTGAGTCGGTGACAATGTGATCAAGACCGACCCAAGCTTTGCACTTTGGCTCTTTAGGCTAAAACATTTTTTATTGCATTTTACATAGCATCAAAATTATTTTCAAACATATTAAAAACACTTGGTGTTCGCCCAAACCAAAAACCAAGCCATCCGGGGTTCGGCTTTCGGAAACCGGCGTTCGGTTTTCAGAAACCGGCGCTCGGCATTCGGTTATCGGCGTTGGTTTTTGGCGTCCGAACCAACCAAGTGGTTTTCAACTTTTTATGATTGGTTTTTACTTCTGGGCACATTTAAATAAGTTTTCCATCAAAAACACTTCAAAAACCACCTTTTGTTTTTTGTCGCTTGATAAAAACCATGCGAAACGGCATAAACTTGGCTAGCCGTGGTTTTTACTTAAATGAAGTGGTTTTCAAGTGTTTTTGTGTAGGAATTGTTTTTGAATGCATTTAAATGGTTCTCCAATCAAAACATCATGAAAACCACCATTCGGTTTTATCTTTTGGTAAAAACCACCCGTGTACGGCGTTGACTTGGTCAACCGTGGTTTTTGTTGGACATGAGTTCAAACCCCTTCACTATTTCTTCAGGAATATTTTTTTGTTTTGATGAATAGCAAACTGGATAATTAATTTCAAGCTGATCGAAAATTTATTTTCGCATCGAGAAAAGCAAAGAAGGGTATCAAGAAGTTTACGGCGATAAAAAAATCGACGATCACCCCTACGCAGATTTTTTTTGAAGTGAAGGGAAGACTCTGAAGATTTTTTTTATTAAGTCTAGGAATCTTTGTAAGGATGACAATTTTTTTCTTGCACAAACAAATCATTTTTAAGGGATAAAAATTATTATTTTGAGTCAGTTGAAAAATTACTTTTCCTCTGTCTAAAATATTTTACTGAGTCAGTTTCAAAATAAGTGTGTCAAAATTTCTTAAAAACATTTTTTTAAGATTACATAATTTTTTTTGTAAGAAAAATATACTTTAAATATTTTTCGTGTACATCGTTTGACACACAAAATAATTTTTGGACACACTTTTTCTCCCCTATTCAAAATCATTGAATAAGGGATATTATATTTTGAGGAGAGTTCTTGTTATTCTCGTTGTCTCAAACAACGAATATAAAGCCAATGCCCTTCTCATCGCACTTGGCTTGGGCCCTTCATGTTTGCGCATTATTTTTCACTTTAATCGATTAAATTATCTAAAATAATCGATTAGATCTCAGCGCTGGATTTCTCAGGCCAATAGACTTAATCGATTAAATTTGTCCATTTAATCGATTAGTTTAAACAGAGCAAGGTAATCGATTTTTCTCTCCTTTTTAATCGATTAATTCCACCTTTGCATTCAAGCCTTTTCGCTTCTGTACACTTTAATCGATTAAAGTCCCTAATTTAATCGATTAATTTTGTCTGGTGCCTATTCTTAGTTCTTTTCAGTGGCTCCAACGGATCTTTTATCCTCAGCCTATTTAATCCCTCATTCTCCTTCATTTCTAAACACATCTCTTGCTCTCCAATAAATTCTTTGAGCTATATCCATCTTTTGCTTCATCTTCCTCATCAAAATATTATTTTTGAGAGTTAGAAATATTTTCTTTGAGTGCTAAAGAAGTTGTCATCCATAGAGCTTTAATTCTTCAACACTACTTTGCTCAATTGTGTGAGCTTTCATTCTTGTGTTGTAAACTCAATCTCTTTTGAGTGTTGTTCTTAAGACTTGTGTGACTCAAGTCTTGTTGTTGTAAGAAAGTGAGGCTTGTGTGATTCAAGTTCTCAAGTTGTACCGGTTTTTCAAGCACCCGTTGAAGCTTGAAGATTAGTAGGACTTTCGAGAGAGTCTCTCGGAGGACTAGACTAGCCACGAGGTGGTGAACCAGTATAAATCTCGGTGTTCTTCTTTCCCTTACTCTCTTTATTTATTCCTGCAATTTTATTATTTCACACACGCAAAAATCAGTGAACTCAATGTTCCCAAAACCGAAGAGGAGTTCACCGACGAAGATTGCAAAAAGATGGAGCTCAACGCAAAGGCAATAAACATGATTTATTACGGTGTTAACGCTGATGACTGTCGCAAAATCTCGCGGTGTGAAACCGCAAAACAAATGTGGGAAAAATTGGAGGTCACCTACGAAGGAACCGCGCAGGTTCGGGAGGCCAAAATTGACCATCTCACTCACGAGAATGAACTCTTTTCAATGAAGGAAAATGAGAAGATTGAGGAAATGTTTGAGAGATTCTCTAACATCATCAATCCTCTCAATCTTCTCGGGAAGACATACACCGACCGAGAGCTCGTGAGAAAGGTGCTGCGAAGCCTATCCCCTAAATGGTGTTCAAAGGTGGACGCAATCGAAGAAGGTCGTGACTTCCAAACAACGACCTATGATGCTCTTCGAGGTAATCTTATTACCTACGAAACCACCCAACTCTCAAAGGTGGTTGAAGAGAGGAACAAAAGGTTTATTGCTCTACCCGCAACAACATCAACCCACAACAACGTTGATGATGAAGATGATGACAGCGACGACACCGACCTCGGACTCTTTGTCCGAAAATTCAAGAAGATGATGCTAAAGAATGGAGCCAAGAAGAACACTCCACCCAAATGCTATGGGTGTGGTGAAATTGGACACATCAAACCAATGTGCCCAAAGCTCAAGAACGAGAAGGACAATAGGGCACCGAAGAAGCAACGTGCCTACATTTCTAACGAGGCCGTGGGGAAACGGAGGAAGTGGCTAACTTATGTCTCATGGCCATTGAAGATGGTGATACATCAAAAGAGGTAAGTAATGATGTTGTTTGCATTGTAGAAGATTTGGTAAGAATGTTCAAAAAGGCTTCCAAAGAAAACAATGAAATAAAGCAAAAAAATCATGATTTTTGAGAATGAAATCAAAGAACTCAAAAATATAAATGATAAACTTAAACAAGAAATTATCTCTTTTTGAAAAAGGCCACAAGAACCTTCAACTACTACTTCTTCTACATGCTCTAGTTGTACATCACTAAAAGCTAAGGTCGCTAGTTTAGAGAGAAAATTGGGAAAGTTCAATAATGCCTCAAACACCTTAGATAAAATACTTAAGCAAAAAGTTAGTAATGGTGAATGACTTGGATATAAGAAAAACCAACCTAGAAAAACAACATTTGTTAAAGCTAGGGGGAATAAAAATGCTAGGATAAATAATCAAACTAGAAAAGCACATCCTAGAAAACCTAGAACTCATTACACTCAACCATATAGGATGAATAATCCAAATGTTATTTGCCACTATTGCAATAAGATAGGTCACATTGCACCCGGGTTCTTCACCAAAATTAGGCATCTTCAACAAACGCACACACATTGCAATATGCTAACCAAAAAGGACCCAACAATACATGGGTACCTAAACCGTCTCCTTGATATCTTTTTGTAGGTGTGCTTGAAGGCTTCGAGTACCTCTTGGTATCTCGATAGCGGATGCTCCAAGCACATGACCGGAGACGCATCCAAATTTAGGAGTTTAGAGTATTTCATAGGTGGCAATGTTGTTTTTGGTGACAACAACAAAGGAAGAATCATTGGAAGTGGCACCGTCGGAAAGGACATTGCTACAACCGTTGAGAACGTTCTTGTTGAGGGCCTCAAGCACAATCTTCTTAGCATTAGCCAATTGTGCGATAGAGGTAACCGTGTCATCTTTGATTCTAGAAAATGCATTGTAGAGCGCTTATGTGACAATAAGACTATTCTTTGTGGTAGTAGAGTAGATAACATTTACATGTTTGATCTTGAAAATTCCCCGTCTACTTTAGCTAAGTGTCTCATTACCAAAGAGGAAGAAACGTGGCTATGGCATCGTCGGATAGCTCACGTTAATATGGACCATCTTAATAAGTTGGTTTCTAAAGACTTAGTAATTGGTGTTCCTAAACTTAAGTTTGAGAAGAATCTAATTTGTGATGCATGTCAAAAGGGGAAGCAAGTAAGGGCCTCGTTTAAGTCAAAGAACGTTGTTTCTACGACTAGGCCATTACAACTTTTGCACATGGACCTTTTT